CTGCTGGCAACACTCCTCCTGATGCAGGCCAGGATCCCATTGGCCTTCTTGGCCACGAGGGCACACTGCTCACTCATGGTTAACTTGGTGTCAACCAGGACTCCCAGGTCCCTCTCCGTGGAGCTGCTTTCCAGCAGCTCGACCCCTAATCTGTACTGATGCCTGGGGTTATTCCTCCCCAGGTGCAGGACCCTGCACTTGTCCTTATTGAACCTCATGAGGTTCCTCTCTGCCCAACTCTCCAGCCTGTCCAGATCCCTCTGGATGGCAGCACAGCCCTCCGGAGTGTCGGCCACTCCACCCAGCTTGGTGTCATCTGCAAACTTGCTCAGGGTGCACTCCGTGCCCTCGTCCAGGTCACTGATAAACAAGTTGAACAGCACTGGGCCCAGTACTGACCCCTGGGGGACACCACTGGCCACAGGCCTCCAGCTGGACTCGGCCCCATTTATCACCACCCTCTGAGTCAGTGCATAATGGTGTGAGGGTTCAGATAAAAGCTCACTGAAAGATTAAAAACATAAAAAAAATACTGAAATTGCTAGTTGAGTTGCCTATTTGATTGGTAAGAGGCAAAGAAGTTGTCTCCTTTTCTTCTACGTCAGCTAGAAGGCAGCATTTTTAGCAATACACAGAAACCACTCGTGAAAGGCATCAACAGTTTGCGTTTCCCTTTCTATTCCTTATCATTCTAACACTCCAGTCCTAAGAGAGGCTCAGACTCTGTGTTAAAGTCTCTGTTTTAGCCTGCTCAGAACTAGATTGCTGACTCCCACTTTCTACAACTTTGGACTTACAATTACTGTCACATTTCACTACTGTCATTTATTGCCCCATCTTTTACGTCGTAGCTATGCTTAGTAAAACCTACATGGAAAGTATTACTAAATTTAGTGAATTTAGATAGATAGATAACTCTGTCATAGAGTTAGTAAGATTTTGGTGGCACTTACTTGTCAAATACTTATTAATAGCCACTGTTTATCAATCAACCCATTTTATTTGGCTTACATATAAATCAGAACAAAAGGCGCTCCTATCTTTACTTCTTTCTACCTCTGCTTTTCCTGTCTCTGCTTCTATCTGGCTGCAAGGATGTAGTTATTCAAAGCTATTCAAAGGTTTGAATAGCCCTGACAGTACTTGGAAATATGCAGGACTGCTGTTGGGTTTTGAACCAAGGTAAGGCCTTTAGCTAAGCTAGCACTAAGTTGTACTTGTACTAGCATTAGTTTCCATTAACATGTATCTCATGAAGCCCCATAATGACTGGCAAAAGAGAAACAAACTAGAAAAAACTGAAACTGCCAGATAATTGGCTGATGAATTTGGAAAAGGCTTGATCTGAAAGGAAAGTCAAAAAATCTGGATTCTGATACAGGCAAACTGAAACTAGCTAACCATAACAACTCTATAAAATGGCTCTGTAATTTCTCATGAAAATGAGCTCTCTACAAAGACAGAAAGATTTCTGGCTTGTAATGGGCAAAATGATGTCTCAAGGTATTTTCTCAAGTTGCTTTAGCAACAACTGGTGTTGATACTAAACACAATAATATTGTGACTGGGAGAAACCTCGTGTAATGCAAAGCATTTTCCTTCAAAAGTCAGTGCAAGTAATGAAAAAAACACCAGAAGAAGGTGGTTCGATGAGCAAAACAACCAAATGCTCACTTAAGCAAGCCAGCAGAAAATAATTTTATCATCTTCCTGGTTTATGTTATATGAAATATGGAAGAACTGGAATTACTCCAGATTGGCTGCCACAGGCAGCTTGCAGTGATACAGAAGTTACGTGCAGTCATCTGCCTAATTGTAAAGACCAATTACACTTGAACAAAAATGGGAAGATCTGGTTGTATGGTATATATGGCATGTAATGTATAGGTTTTATACCTCCAGCTGTCTCCTGGGACCTGCCACCTGCTTGCCCTGTCGCTGCAATGAGGATTGCCCGCGGGCAGGGTCACCAGCACCGTGCTCTGCAGGTGCCAGGGGACATGCCCTGGCCAACGAGGGTACGTGGGACTCACTGTATCTGCTCGTGGTGCCCGGCTGCCCATGCCCGGAGCAGCCAGAGCTGCGGTGCTCTGCATGGCCTGGCTTGCTGGGCAGGTCGCAGGGCTTTGCCGTGGACTCGATGCGCATCCCGGTGGGAAATCTGTTCACAACAGAGCTGAAATGCAGCAGGGAGGCAGCACAGGTACTCTGGGCATAACCTCCCTCAGCCAGACCTCGCCATAGCTTGCAAGTTCAATGAGAACACCTGTGAGTTACCAATTATCTAAAAAATAAGCTTTGAGTATTAGATATTGATACAGATTTCTCTGAAAGACACAGAAATCTAAACTCTATCAATGTGTCCCTGTTATCATATTGCATATAATAAATAGCGTAGAACAAAAAGGATTCCATTATAAGGTTTTCTCATTTATCATTAAATGGTGAAAGCAGAACTAGATATGCGAGGACTAGAATACTGGAAGTATTCTGTTTTACTGTTTCATTTTGTGGAAACAAATCTTCTGTTTTTCCTGGGATTTGTTAGACAGGAAGACATGTCTCTACTTTTTGTGTCATATGTTACATTATTGTTAAGTGTGTGGAAGTGAACTATTAGACCATTTCCTCCAATTACTTACTTTTATTTAGTCTATTCCTTGCCTACATAGGCAAAGAACCACATTTAAGCCATGTATATATTCAGCCTGGGTACAGACAGTAACTAGTTTGTGCTATAAGAAAATACGACCTGCATGTGTGACCGGTGTTGTATCAGTGCTCTTACTCAGCCAAAAAACATATATTACCCGATTAGCAAGAGCAGTCAAAATCATGTGGTAACTTGAACAACCAGAAACACATTTAAAATGCTCACACTCCTTTTTTCCTGCTAGAAACTTCACAGTGTGTATCCTATACAAATAGTTACTGAGACTGAAGATGCAAATTGTTACTTTAAGAAATAACAAATACAGCAGACTTGCAGGAATTGAATTTGCAAGACTACTGGAGAAATGGAAGCAGTTTTACACAACTGGCATGCAATTGTTTAATGACAAGAAAAGAAATTTGCTAAAAGTTAAGCATGAGAGTGTGATGAAAAATCAATGGCAAACATTTGCCTCAAGCAAAAATGCATTTCCCAGCATTTATGTGTGTACATTTGTGCATGCATTCAAAAGAATAAAACGCAGAGATAACTCTACTCATCTTCTTCACCATTTCAGCAGTTAAAAGCAGAGGGGGTGGACGGCTCTCCCCTTTAGTTTTTTCAGGAACTCATGAGTTTGCTCTGACAATATCCCTGGGGGGAACCTGTAAAATTGACTTTTGGCCTTTTCCAAGAAGAAAACATCCTAATGACACACAGGAGTCGTACAGATGTAGCTAGGGCAGAATCGAGGAGGAGCGAGGAGCTATGGACACTAAACATGCACATCTGGCCCTACAAGCCTCAGGATAACACGACGCACTGAATGGTTCTGAATCCAGTGAAAAGAAAAGGAGACAAAAAGCTGAGGAACAGGATGCAGAAGCACTCGCCTCTCCACGTACGCTGGAACTGCACTCAAGGCACATGAAGCATCACAGCTACTACCAACACCACAGAATGGGTCAAGCCAACCTGGTGTCCTCTCACTTTGGCACAGGGGATGCTTAGGGAAAGAGTACAAGAACGTGACACGTGTTCAAAACTTCCCCAAATCACCCACCAGTTGTTACAGACCTTCTGATTTGGAGGTTACATCTGCAGCCCTGTGTTTTATGGTCAAATATACTGGGTTAAGTTTCTGTTTTCTATTTTCATCCTCCCAATCTGCTTGCCCATTATTCGGACCAACGCAGATGTTGCTAGCCTTTCCATTGCTATAACACAACTATTTGCGTGATCACACCTTGAAATCTGTGAAACATTTCAGACTGTAAATAGCTGCTATGGCTGTTCTTGCAGCTAATGAATGATGGACAGCATGCCCATGCTATCAGTCAGGCAATGAGGCAGTACATCTCAAGGTCTTAGATACCATGACTGGGAATTTAAGAAATTCCTCATTTATGAAAAGACAGCATTAAAGGACTTAAGTAAAGCCAAAACATCACTCAAAATTCAGGCAATATTTGATGTTGGAGATGTCACAGTCATCAATGGCATTCCACTAAACTAATAACATTAAAAAAAAACAAACAAAAAGGGCCTTTCTGTGTGTATTTTTCACATCTGACTGGATTTAAGCATGAGCTGGGCCTATTCAGCCTGGAGAAGAGGAGGCTGAGAGGGGACCTGATCAGTGTCTGTAAATCCCTCAAAGGAGGCAGAGAGGAGGAGGGGGCGGCCTCTTTTCAGTGGTGGGCAGCGACAGGACTAGAGGAAACGGCCACAAGCTGAGGCACCAAAAGTTCCACAGGAACTTAAGGAAACATTTAAATAACAGTGAGGGTGACAGAGCCCTGGCACAGGCTGCCCAGAGAGGTTGTGGAGTCTCCTTCTTTGGAGATCTTTAAAACCCGCTTGGATGCAGCCCTGTGCCACGTGCTCTAGGTGACCCTGCGTGAGCAGGGGGGTTGGACTAGATGACCTCTGAGGTCCCTTCCAACCTTAAGCATTCTGTGATTCTATGATTCTATGAATACATTGCTTCTCTCTTTACTCCTTGACCCTCTGCTTGGAGGGACCTCAACTGTTTGAAGATCCTGCATTGCAGATTTCCAGAATGTCTCTATAGTTTGAATCTGCATCATTACAACTACCATAAACACCCCAGGCTCTTATTGTCTCCTCAGATGATCAAGAAGATAGTCTATAGATGATGCAAACCAAGGTTTTCTGATGTTTCCCATACATGTTTAATAGCTCAGGCACAATGTCCAAAACAACCTGCCTTTAGCACTTAAAAGAAAATAGTCAATAGTGTACTTAACTTCTCTGCGAGCCACGACTTCACAACAAGTAAGAAATGCCAATTTTTGCAGGTCTTACTACAACATCATTGCATTACCTGTGGTTCCTTGTCATGTTGGCTAGGATCCCTTTCATAGCTCTCTGCATAGATCCGGAGAGTAGCTCGCACGTGGCTGGAAGCACTCATCCTGAAGATGAGCCTGGAGGCATCTGAAAATACAATCCGCAACCCCTGCAGAGGGAAAAAGAGAAAAAGAGCAACACCTTCAGAAATCACAGTTCATTGCTCTAAAAAAAAAACCAAAATAGTAAAATAAAAAGTGAATGGAAGAGTATTTTGAATTCAGTTCTTTTTTTTTTGTGACTTACTGCAACTTACTGCCCTTATTTCCCTTCTGAAGAGTAGAAACAGTCTCCTACATCCCACCTCTCTCCTCATAACAAGAACTTTCTTATTGTTGGGTTTTTCTGCTCTAGTTGCTTCGTTCTGATTCTCTGAGATATCAAAAAATTTGGTAGTACTACACAAGAAAATTAACTTACAGTGTTAATTTAAAGCACAGTAATTAATGGACATTAACCTGTGTGTAGAATTAACAAAGTTCTATTTTTCATTCTCCATGAATGTGCTCCTTGCTTCCATTTTAGTCTCCTTTTTCTTTTCTCTCTCTTCTTTTCCTGCTCTACATATGCACATATCCTCCCACAGACACTTGGATCCAGTGTCAACACACAGTCAGTGCATGAAGGCTTTAAAGCAGCATGGTCAGATGGATGAACTTATTCCTACTAAAGCCAAAGATCTAAGTTCCACCATTAACCAGCTGCAGAGTTTTAACTCCCTTCCCATTCTACACTTACACAAATCTATTTCCCTTCCTGTAAATATTAGGCTAAGTGCCACCTTTGCCTTCCCACTAAACTTTATGTCCCTGTTAAATGCTAGATAGAGCATGAGCAGAGACCATTGCTTTTTTTATCTGAGGGGCTATAAGCTATTGAAAAACAATGAGGATTAAAGAAGGAAGCATTCTGTTTTTCCATTTCTATCTGCAGTTGCCTAGGTAGAGACTGATGTCAGTTCTCTAACATGATAAAACAAGAACAGAAAACTTTGTTGATGAGGTATGTGCCAAAACATTTTTAGCACCATATAAAGAACTGTTTGGTTGATATTGCCCACTGATGCTAGAAAATGCATAACAGAAAAATATCCCACACGGGTAAAACTGGATTAGATGACCCAAGAGATATTGTCCATCTCTAAATTTAGTGACTCCATAAACTGTTTTAGCTGCTAGTATAACAATATATATTACTTTTTAATTTTGTTTCAATGCAATAGATTTTTTAGTATTATATTAGTGCAATTTCAGTGCAACACTAATTCATCTAATACTCTCTGAGATTTAGAATATTTTTTTTCTAACAGTTTGAGAACGTTTTCTTTCAGATACTTCTTACTAAGCCAATTTCTTGAGTTCTGGGATAAAATCTTCACTCCAGAAATGTCAATGGGAGTTTCCCATTTGACTTCAAAAGAACTAAGATTTCCTCCAGATTTTTAGAAGTATACACTCAGTATGTTATGGTCTGGTACTCTGAGCAATGAGTTGTCTCTCTGTGATGGCCAGTTATTCTCAACTTGATGACAGTGAGGAAAAAGGGAATAAAATGAAGGAACTTTGTGATTTTGTCATGGCTTGTTTTGAATGGTTTACTCACCTAGGGTCAATTGTGCAAAATCTGTAACACTAACATCAATCGAAGGAAGGAAGGGAGTCTAACGTAATTGCACAAAATGAATACAATGAACCATAAACATCAAAGCAAGTGCATATTTTTCCTTCCAGTGCTTGATGTGGCATTTTGCATATTCCAGTTACCTCTAGAAACACCCACAATGACATGCTTGAATTCCCTGTGCTCCATCCTTACCTGTCAATAATAACAGTGACAAAGTCAGCTGCCTTAGCACATGGGATTCTGTCATCTAACCACTCCTTAAATCATGGTCTTGAGAAATAAACAATTTATAAACACTTCTTTCTCTTCCACTATATTATGTCAAAATGTTCCACCAAACTAGAACATCTTTAGACTATTTGATGGGAAATTTACAGTACTTGGGATTCTTATGCAGCATATGTACACACATGACCAGTCATTTCTCCGTGCACTATTTTTCAGCTCTTTATTTTCTTCATTCTACATTTCTTACATTTCTTAGACAATATGAATTTTTACAAAAGGGTGATGACAGCTGGTATTTGTCTATAAGACAAGGATTCCCACCACACAGCTGAGAAAGCTTCAGAAAGGGGCATTTCAGACACAGTGGATGTTCTCCCTATAATTCGTAATCCTAAATGCTGGGGTAAAGTCATATTCTAGAGAAACGGGGGATTTTGGGGACAGATTGTTAAAGTCGGCTTTAGAGTACAGATATTTACTGTACTCTAAAGATATTTACCTAGAGAACTGGAACTCATTATTAAGAGAATTCAAAAACAAAAATCTGACTTCTGAATCTCCTTTGTGAGCAATCACACTGATTTCAGAACTAGCAAAGACTTTAATTCAGGAAGACCACAGAAATTGAGAGTTCTTACATTTTTATATTTATTTGTCTCCACCATTTTCTGGACCTTACAACTAAAAGCCATGAGTTAATAACACTTCTCAAAAACAAAAAGACAAACAAACAAACAAAAACATTGCTTCTGAATATATATAAAGCACTATCTCAGGAATAAGCTCCAGCACTGCATCTTCTGGAAAAAAAAAGTTTTTCCCTACTTCTCATAGGGAAGTATTCTTATATGCCCATTATAACATATAGAGGATTCCTTTTTGACGTTTTTGAACCTTAGTGGTCAATATAATTGAAATAAGCTGGTGAAATTGCAAGCAGCCTAAATATGTGTGTGAACTGATGCAGTTTTTCACCTGACGAAAGTCTAGTTCAATGCTCCATAATAGCTATTACAGTATTAATAATGTACTAGATGCATGAATCTGCCCCATATTATATGCAGAATTTATAAACTAACTTAAAAGGGAAAGAAAGAGGAATATGCTGAAAAGCCAATGGGAAGGAGTAACTTTCAGTTACAATAGGGCATACTATTATGGCTGACAAGAATAACATTATCTTATCAGAACTGATAATTCATTTTTTCTGGAAGGAAGTAGATGGAAGTTGATGAGTACAGTTCACACACTGAGCATCTGTGGACAATTATTTTAGTCAAATTAGGCCTGCTAATGGATATTGAGTTCTGTGGAAAATGTGAAACAAAATTATGTCCCGTGGTCCACTATCTTTGAAGCTGATGTGTTAGAGACAAACATTATAGGGATTCATCCCTTTTACATTCTTTTTTTTTAGTTAAACAACTTGCTAATTTGCTGGGATTTATGAAGCAATCAAAAAAAGAAAGGAAAAAAACCCTGCTACATTTTCTGCTACATGTTTGGTTTTCAGTGGTTTGGTGGAAATTTTGGGTTACAATTTCATAATTAAAGAAAGGTGAGGCTTGTCAGCTCCAGGTTGGAATTGACATTGTAAGAAATACATTGACAGTTGTAAAATCACGTTGTGCCATCACCACACCCCTACCTGTCTTTTGGTCACAGTGCCATCCACAGGATCCATGTACTCAAAGCTGTCTGTTCTTTCCACACTGTAGATATTGCTACCCACAGCAAACTGCTGATTGCTGAATGTCTTGTTAGTGATCAAAGCTTCCAGGTCTCTCATTATGAAATAGGCAGTTCTGGGTTCCAAGCCTTCATAATCAAACCTTGCATTAAAAAGAAAAAAAAAAACAGAAGCAAGAAATAAGTCCTGTTGAAAAAAAAAAAACAAAAAACCTATTTTCACAAAACTCAATATAATCACAATTAGTGGCTTCTTGCGTGACTTAAAAAAAAGCAGAGCTGGGCTATTGAAATACCCATTGCAAATTAAGCCAGCTAAACATGAACTAAGTCCCATGCAACCTTCCAATTGTGAGCGTGCAGAACTGCTCAGCCCCAGCCACCTGACTCTGAGTCAGCAGAAGCCATTTAGAAAACATATGGTTTCCAAAGCAGCATAGAAAACATTTAGTGCAGCCTTTAGAGCTGCAGGACACAGTCAAGGCAATTCTCAATAGCCAAAGGAAACAAAATCTCAGCTAAGAATGCTGTATGAAAAAGAGATGGATATATAAACTACACTGGATGAAGTCTATTTTGAGGGAGGAAGGAAGTGACAAAGAAAGAAAGAGAGGCAGAAGTGATGCAGAAGCCAAGATATCATCTGTGTCATGTAAATGCCTATGAGAATTCTCCTTTCTGAAACCCTAGCAAGAAAGAGTAAACGTTAGATATTTGAAAGACTTCTCCTAAGTTAAAAGAAGGTGTATTTTCAGTTATGATTAAAATTGTCTGTATTGTCAAATGGAATAGAGAAAGAAATGCATGAGTAAATTTTGCTAAGATGTTGGTTTTTTGTTTCAACACTATGTAAACACTACCTGTATTGGTTCCACATGTAAATAATTTCATCTGCCATTTGATGTCAGTAAAATCAGTCATTCATGCATTGGAATAATAACAAGCACACCATTCCTTTGTTAAGTAAATATCTCTAGCTAACACCTAACCATCGGATAAAACTGTCTGCAGAACAGTGGCAGTTGTGGCAGATTTTTATGGCACAGCTGGACACACCACATCCAAACCTAAGCACAGCTGAGCACAGCTAATCAAGCCACAGTTGCAGAGGACTTGTCCTGCTGACTGCATAAGCTCCTGGGTCATTTCCTCGTGCTTCTCACCTGCAGTAGTAGTGCCGGCCAAATTTTGCCCAGTGATCCCTGACAATCTCCTCCACACTCTGCTTTCGAGCTGCTAGAATTGAAAGCCAAACTAGCACAGCCCACAGTCCATCTTTCTCTCGAAGGTGGTCAGACCCTAAGGAGACAAAAGTAAAGCACATTATTTGGTATTGCTGCAAACAAGTAAACTAGGTGAAGAGGATGGCTGAAGTGTTCATTTAACTGTGTATGTTGGCATTGCAGGGAAGTGGTAGAGTGGGAAAATACTTTTAGCCATGATTCCTGCTCACTGAGTGGTTTCACATATCTGGTAGTCTTTCCCAGAACTGTGTAAGATATGCAAACCCTTGGTCTCGAACCAGAATGCTCTGAGTTATGTGGGACAAGTTCAACGACATCTCCTTATCTCCGCAAATGTTCATTTGTCACGCTGACTGGAATCAATTTTCTAACTGTGAAAGATGAAGATTTACAGACCATTCATGAGCTCCCATCATAATGAAAAAGAAAGCGCCTGAAAAATGTTGCTGAGGAAAAAAAATCCCACAAATCTGAAAACACTACTCCCCTCACTTCAGTATTTCTCCATATCACTCGGTGAGAGAGATGTTTGAATGCTCAGATCTAAATCCTTTCCCAAGTTTATATTCATGAAAAGATAAAATGATCCAGCAGTGGTTAATGAGAACGTTTCAGGAGTACCATCGTCTTCAGGATGTATTCTTAGATATGGGAGGCACAGGTTCTTACAAAGGCAAAAAGAGCACAGACTGCTGATATTGGAATCTCTGCCTGCTAATATTGGACTGTGTAAGTAGCAAAAAGTTTCAATAAAATCAGTATTTTCTAACAAAAGACTATTTTATGGCAAGATTCTTGTATGCCTCATTAAGGGCCATCTTCTTTGGGGTAATTCAGAACAAACTTTTGTGGAAATCTGTATCCGCATCTCATTATCCCATAATCACAAGAAACCTGTACCCAAATCACAGTACCCCATAATCAAAAGAAACATTAATCCCTGATAACTAACTGAGTAAGGTCTAAGATAACTTACACTCTTACGCTTACTAAAATACACTCAGTAGACACTGAAGATGAGTGCTTATTCAAGACACTTGCCTGGACAAGTCAAGTCTGGAGCTATTACCATGGCATACTGCTAGATTTGGTTGAAGTCTTAGCCGAAGCATTTTCTTTTTCTCCTTATTCTCACATTATGGAAACTGTGCAAGAACGTACAACAAATTCACAAGTTCTGCCTCCTGATGAAACTGAAGTCCATTGGACAACATATGCTGATAGAAGAGACTTAGCAATGCCCTAGAGGGAGCCCCTTGGGACAAGGGTGGTCCTCTTGGGCCTACAGCAAAGACAGGGCCTTAGGAGCTGCTCTAATGAAGACAGCTTCCCTCTTTTGAGTTTCTGGGTGCTATCACAGCATGGATTGTCAACAGAATAAAAAGGGCAGGGTTATTTATGAGCTATCAGGGCTTTGCAATAACTCCAGATAAGAAAGGGAAACAAAATGCCACTTCAGAGGAAGTCAGCCCTTCAAGCAATCAGCTTCTCCCCTTTTCTGCTCCCCCTTTATGATAACAGGCCTGGTGAGCTGAAGGACTCCTTCCACAGGCATACTTCTGGGAATGACGCCTGCAGATACTAAGGTCAGCTTTACAGGGCAGACAACGTGGTCCTGGCCACTTCACCGTGACCAAGGACGTCTGTTCCCTAGACCAACTTTGCCAGTGCTAAACCAGGGAGGTCCAGCTCACAGCTTCAGCTTCCCACCCACATCCCTCGCTCCTCTGGCAGCAGCAACGCTCCTCTAGGCACCACTGGGGCCAGTATCGGTGGTGGCTCCTGGTGGCTTCTCCTGCTGCCCTGCAAGCTTGTCCCATCACGGCTCCTGCCTGCTCTCCTTATCAACCTAGACCTTCACCCCCAAAATTGAAAATTTCAGTCTCATCAAAGTTTTGAAACCATCTCTGTTCACTGATATTAGCAGAAGCTTCAGCTGCTTAAGTATCTGAACAGATACTTGCAGCAAGTGAAGATACAGTGTAGAGCTAAATACCGCAGCAGCCTGTCCTAATGCAAGTAATGATTTGTTCTTCTGTTGTGTAACACTCTGTAGACTGCAAGCCATCAAATCGTACTGCAAAAGGCACAGCACTCATTCAGCAAAATGGTCTATACATCATATTAGCTCTGCAAAGGTCTGGGCTAAACACGGAAGAAGAGATGCATTTTGATTTAGCAAACATTTCAAGAATGTTTTATTGAACCTAAATGGTCCAGTGAAACATGGGCAGGAAGAATTTTTGGAATGGCCTCTGTTGTGCTCCGAGCCCTGTGCTGGCACGACTCAAGCTCATAAATCTCCATGAAGAGTGGTGTGTGTATACATGTACCATTCTTTTGATCCATTTAGCAGCTCTGGCATGTGCTATGTCCTTGTGCATCCCTCAGGACGACAAAATGATTGTTGCTTTTGTGGAAGAAGAAAACACTGGATGAAAGCAATCCAGAGGTGAAAATCTAGATGCAAATACAACAGGTCCAGAACAAAAATTCACTGATTAAAAATGCCAGTCTTTTTGTCATACAGCGACTATAAACCTGTGTGCACACAAAGTGCCTCTGTTAAGTTCTTACTAGGAGGAAACTTGACAACTGGAATTTCTCATTTATTCCCTCCCTTTTGTTTCATCAGCATATCTTATTTTTATTGCCTTTACTTCAAGCAAACTAAAATCCTTAATCAAAATTCTGCTTTTTACCTACTTTATCTTTTGTCTGCAGGTATCTTTGCTCACTCTCTTTCTCATTTATTCTTACTGCTGAACTCAGATACTTTTTAATATTTGGGAAGAATCTAGTTGGAATACCTCAGTTCAGCTAACAATATATTTATTTGGTCCAGCATCTATAGTCAGGGATCAAAAGAGGCAGAACTGGTCACTGAAAAGTGGTAAAATAAAAGATGCTTTGCAACTATGCATTCCTAACTGGCACTGACTGTTACAACCTCTCTGCAAAACCAGTATCAATCCTCAGATCTCTGTGGTACTTTTTCTTCAGGCATCCAAACATTAATGACTTCTGGTTGCTGCTTAAGGGGTTGAGGCAGGAACGGGAAATGGAAAATTGGAATCAACACTCCACTTTCTGATCATCTTATTATATTTATTTTATCTTTCGTAGAGGGAAATTTTAATAATAGCAACTACTTGGACAGCTTGTTTTTAGGTTAACCTGGTAACATTGCTTGTTTTAACTGTAGCCAAAGCAGTCCTTTCACTACTGCAACCATCAATTGCTATGGCCACGTTCAGAGTAAACAATCCGGGAAAAAACGACCTAACATGTTCCCATTCATAAATATGTACTCAATTTAAACAGGCTTAAACTTAAGTCTTGAGATTCAGTAGTCTGAGAAAGAAAGAAAGCTCAGGCAAAAATATTTTTACTATCATTTTTCTGATATTGTAAATCTGCTGGACATACAGGCAATTTCTTACATTTTCTAATCGAGAAAACCAGTAGTGAGATCAGAAGGTCCATGCATGTGGAAAATACAACTGTTTTCCCCTCAACTGGTCAACTCCATGTGGCATGTTACATTCTGTTACTGCCATTTTTGAATACAAAAGTCAGACTTCGTTATGCAGACTCAGGGTTTTTTTGTTTGAACACTCTTCACATCTTACAAGTCCATCTTACAGAAATTTGTATCTTCTTGATGTTTTTGGCAAATGGAGATTTGGAGGCATATTATAAAATAAAACGTGGGGATTACTTTAGATTTGTAGATCTGGTAGAGTTACATACAGGTCTTTACATCTTTCCTTCCTTTCAGCAGTAGAACATCTTTATGCTCCCCACCTCTTCTTCCACATCATCTTGCAGGAGAAGGTCACTAGTGTTACTGACATCTGGAAGTTTGGGGATACAAATTTATGAAGAATGCAGCAATTACTCAAGTAGCTTACACTGGGGGAAGACAAATCAACCACATAGCTCTTTTAATTCTGATTAAGAGTTTGCTGATGAAATTTGGATACTCACTGCTGCTGCTGACTCCCTTCTCTGAACCGTGCCCTGGGCATTACTCATAGCACCAGAAAGCTACTAACCTCATCTGACAAGCTCCCCACACTACTACAAAAATGGAATAAGTTTTTAGAGCACTGGTTCAGTTCCAACATCAGCTGCCAGAAAACAAGTCTGGGAAACACAGCCCTATGGGATGTTTTCAGAAACGTTTTTCCTTTTATAGCAGAAAATTTGCTTTTATTTACTGAAGCAAAATCCCTTATGTTATAAAACCAGAGCTCCTTATTATTTGGAAATTCCAGCTGGGCTGGATTACCTGGATATAAAACCAATCACTCTCCAGTGTTGTCAGGTTAGTTTGACATTAGCATGTAGATCTCCAAAGCCTTTTTCTCTTGCACAGAACAGAAAGTTCCCAGCTCTGACCAGCTACATGGTATATTTTTTTAAATATTCCGCACTGAAATTCACTTTCCTGAAGACAGAGTATTGAGAGGAAGCTGTAAAGCTGATTCAAATGCCCAGTGCTAGAAGAAACTGGTGAGGATCATGCAGTTTAGGACAGTATTGAAAGGTACGGAAAAAAAGGAGAAATATTGAATACTAAAACCAGTTCACATTACTAAAGCATTGGTCATCATAAACCTGCCTGCATTTTACAGATATACTTCGTGGCACATGAGATACTCTCAGAGTGCTCCATGCAACTTACAGACAGTAAGGAAACTAAGGCAGGTAGAAAAGCAAACTTTATGTATCAGTCAATATCAGAGTTGTTGTGACTTGTCTGGATGTCCAGATGTCTGGATGCCCAGGGGCTACGTATCAGTCTTTAGATGACATGAGCAAAAATGCAAGGCCAGGGGGGCCTTCTGCACTGTTGATGAGGACAACAAAGCTCCTCTCACCAGACTGGGCCAGAACACACTGGCTAAATACTGCTGTAGATGCTGGCCAACCACTGTTTGTTCAAGCACCCTGAAATCAGATGACACCCTTACAGCTCACAAGAGGCAGGATTTACCAAGAATCCGAAGGATTAAGGGTATGAGAGGAGGAGAACCAGATGAAGAGAGGATCACAGAGAAGGCTAGGAATGCAGACTGGTGTGAGGTCGGGAGAGGGGAGCTGAAAAATGGGAAGGGAGCCTACAAGCACAAACTACAGCTGCTCCAGGGCTCCACAAAAGGATGCAAGTGAGAAGAAAACAGTCAAGGGAAGGCGGATAGAAGGGGTGCAAGAATATATTGCCTATTTACTAGATCAGGCAAGTGCAAGAGCCCTTCCCTTGACCACCATGAGAAACCTGTCCCTCTGTGCCACCTCCAGCCACCATCTGCTACACTGGGTGCAGAGGAAGTCAGACCAACACAGAGCAGTGACACTCTCAGAGTTTCAGCAAGTCACTACAGCCCTGAAAACACTTATTTTAATTTCTGTACGACTGTTCTGCAGGGCTAACGTCCATGAATGCTTGGGGACAGTCTACCTAACAACACCTCAACAGGGGTGTGAGGTCAAGCTTTGAAGGTGACAGAAAAACATAGTGTTTGTTTGGTTGTTTATTTATAAGGGCACCATGGAGTTTTCCTGACAAACCTCCTGAAAAGCCAGGTCTCTACTAATGAACTAACCATTTCTTTTTCCCTTCTGAAATGAAAGGAAATGAAACACTTGCAAGAATGACACATCAGCATCACTGGTTGTAGCTCTACCTTCCAATCAGAAATATGCTTGTGGAGGTGATTTATCATGGCATATTCACATTCAGCTTATCCCTGCTTGCTATGCAGACCTTCACGGACAAAACTGTGGGTAGTAGGGGGTGGGTCATGAGTGGGTCATGATTCCCAGATGTTCTACAGTTTGTGGGAACTCATCATCAGGCTCCTTCAGGTCACAAATCTCCTTTACCTCCTTTCAGCATGATGACGTAGGCATATTTTTTTTACCAAATAATTTGGATGCTAGTGAGGTCATCTTGCTATCTTGAGAGGCACACAAATTTCACGGAAATATCTATTTTATCCAGGAACAGGAGAATTTTTAAAATTTACAGAGAGGACATTTAGAACGGGCCCATGGAGAAAGCATTAAAGATCCATGGGAGTTGAAAACTCCCTGGTCCAGATTTCTCACTAGGAAGAGAACGCTGTGAAGAGAGCAACATACGGCAGAATGTGACATTTATTGAAAAACACAAAAATCTTCCTGCTTCTGAAGATATTCCTTTTTACAAGCTTTATAAAATTGTCACTCAAAAGCTCTTTGAACACTATTTGAGAATATTTACCCAAAAGATACATATATCCACATTAATGATATAAATCTGAGTCAACCACAGCAGTTAAGTCCAGGGATCCAGGTTGCTAATCATGGAACTGGATTTCACATTCATAACACAAAGGAAAATAAGCATTCATTACTCATTTTAATTATCTTTCTTCTTACAGATAGATGCTCAAAGAAATCTATGCAGTCTTGCTGCTTCCATCACAGGCCATACAAAGAGCCACAGAAAAGCTTAGGAGAGGCTACTGCTTAAAAAGACATGTGCATGCCTTAGAAGTTTCAGAAAGGTGTCCTCTGTTTTAAACAATCAGCATCCTGCTCTAGCTGACCTCAACCCACTGAGTATTCAACTTACTCAATCAAAAGAACACAGAGTTTGTACCCAAATTTGACTATGTGATTACTTCCTTAGCAAAGCTACAGTCAATGATTTTTTCCACAAAAAAGGAACTTCATGAAACTCATACCAAAATACAAAATAAGTGTATTCCAGTAATTGTGATGTCCAAAAAAGGAATGCCTGGAACATGTTTATTTGGACATACCAGTTCTGCTACCTTACAGCGAGATCAGTGGAACCTCCCACATTCAACCTAGAAGAGCACGACATGCAACTCCAAAAGTTGTCTACCCAGCAGCAAGATGGCCCTGGGCTCCTCAATGTCCATTTCCTTACATTTTTCAAATCTCTAGGTATGTGGACACTAAACTTCGAAGTGGACTCTCAAGATGTAAGCAACTGACCATCCTTTGCTGAAGTACAAAATGAATTCTTGATTTGATTTGAAAGATTGCAGATTCTCTTGGCTCTGACTTCAGGCATTCAAGAAAATGTCAGTAATTAAAAATCCATGTAAATTTTTGACTGGGATTTGCTTACCAGTGCCAAAGCTTTCCTCTCCACAAAGTGAGCAACGTCCAGAGTCCATGAGATTGGAAAAATATCTCCATCCTGTTGGTGTTTCATACACAGGAACTTTCATTACTTTAGCCACTCTAGAAAAGACACAATAAAACATCACACAATTAAGTATTATATTAGGTCTTGCTGCATCTCCTTTGTTCTCTCAGCTGGGCTATGAAGGAAAACAAGGGAGAACAGATCAAAATCAGTTCAGAGCTGATTCTTGTCTCAGAACTTAACTTCAGCCAAAACCTGGATATGTTTTTGCACTCTAAGTGTACTGTTTTGGTAAAGGAAGGAACAGGCTTTATCAGAGTCTTTAAATTCTTAATGAAACTACAGATACACAGACATGCTATCTTAATATCTTAATATTTAATATATGAAACTTATAACAACATGTTTAAGTATCTCCGTTTATAAAATACAGGTGGCCAATAGTTACATGTTTGAGAGGGACTTTTATTTCTACTCATATATTTAAAGTCAGGACAACACAGGACTGTTTACATGGTACAAAGCAGAACAGAGCTTTCTCGGCCCTGAGTACTCTCCCCATCTCCTGTGATATGGCTATACAACAGTGCTTGCCAGCTGGTATTCTCAAGAAAAAAATAAAATCACTGTATGTGCTGGATCTGCTTTCCCTTCCTCAGCTTGCCAGCCAGTAATTATTCCTGTTACAGACTCTGCTGAACAAAAAACCTCGCTTGGACTAAACACAAAAAAGAAGAAGAAAAAAATTCCACACTTTCTAACAAACCCATATCAAGCTGAGATTTATCCATTACCATTCCTTTTGCTCCTAACCATATCTGCTTGTTCTCATTTTATTTATGCTTAAGATTTTCAGTCTAGTTTTTTTAATGTGATTTTTTTTAATGTGAAAATAAGACTTAAGAAATAGTCTAGTAATCTGACTTGTTATTACCACCTGATCAACAGGGAGAGACGTGTCTTTAGAGAGTCCTTTACTCTGCTTTTTTCCCACACAGTAGATACCCATTGCTATCAGTCTCCAGCTATATAGGCTAAATGTTCACATTTCTACTTATATATTAAACTCTAAAATGGTGTTTTATAAATGAAATCACATAGGAACTGCTGATATTTATTTGAAAAAAAGATAGTAAGATAAATGAAAAAAAAAAAAAAGAATGTCATCAAAAGATGAGAATTTAAGCTTGGTTTCCATGTCTCTAGCTCAGAGACAGAGGCAAGTGTACCCCTTCTGTGTTTGTATAGCACCAAGTATATTACTTGGCCTTTAGAAAATGTATTGCATAAGGCAGGTTATACAATGCAGAGCCCAACAGGTGCTTGGCTGGCTCTGCGAGAACTCAAGAACATCAAAAGATTTAATCTCTGTGTCGTAATAAGTACACACTTGGAAAGGGATCATAACGTCAGAAAGCAAAAAACAATTGAACAGAAGACAATGGCTAACACTGTGGAAGAACAAACTCAAATCTCTCGAGGTAGTCTAATAATAACTCAGGGATATCTATCCTTGCAGAAACATTAACAAATCCTTGTACTGTGTTTGGAGAAGGAACTTCTTTCCCCTTCCCTATTCCATATTCCACTAGCTTCACAGGCCTATACTGATCAATATCAAAGGTGCTCTTCCCCTTTCTAATTTTTCCTTTTCACTGAAAATGCAGATGACAATTCTGTTGGCATGAGATTTACTTTAAACTAAGCCTTTCAAGTAAGAAAGCAAATGTAATATGTTTATGAACAGAATTCTACAGCAAAATATGGCAGATGGTTGTCTTTGAAGAGCAATTTGCGTGGGCTGTAGATTATTGCAGCAATACCCAAAGCAGTCAAATAATCTGTCTTGCATTTAGTTGTTAATCTCAAGAATACTTAAACATGTCCCTAGCAGTCAGTGGATGTTTGTTCTGGCTTCAGAACTGCACAAGATCCTTCAGTTTCCCATTTTAACTGCGTGACATCACCAGGCTGAGGATAAGAGCTTTAAAAGGCACACTAAAAACTGAATTAATCCTTTTTTATTGTCATGTCATGGAAAGAAAGGATCATGGATGGAAGTCTCAACAAATACAGAATGTGTTTTTCTGCAATCTGTAGGCTAGTAAAGCAAATGATCACCACAGAAACCAAAAGAGGGATTCCCAGAAGAAGGCACCCAAACAAGAACGGTGTGCTGCATCAGATTCAACAAATAACAGTGAAGATTACAGGAAAATAACCTCAGAGGAAGAAAACATGTATTATGCAATTGGATTCAATGCAGAGAAAGCTTAAAAAAACCAACCAAACAAATAACTTTTGAGGAGTAAAATCAGAACTGTCAGACCCTGCTATCCAGATACACAAAAAGTCTGCCAGTCCAGACAAAATGGTAACATTCCTTCTGAACCGAGATGTGTAGATGTGTTTATATGTCCTACCTGGGAATTCCTAATTCAGCATACGATTTCATGACAAGCTTGAAAGCACCTAATAAATATTTTATTCTGCTAGGCAAAGAAATACTTCAGGTGAGGAATAAACGAATTTAAGGAAATTCTAATTCAGAAAGAACAAATGCTGTTGAGGTAAGTTTCTTGATTGACCCTAATGTTCTCAGATTTGTTAATTACAATCTATGATGTTTTCATCTATGTGTATTAACACAACATTATATACATTATTTTATTTTTTTCTTCTTCCTTCTGTATGGTGCCACTGGAGTCTCTATTCTTGGATACCTACATCTGGGAAGCTACAAACGGAAATCAGGTTCTTGCCATAAAGTTTTCATTGTCTGTATGAGATCTCTTGGCCAGACCTCGAGGATATTACTTTTCTCAGAAACTGAGCTTTGGTGTTGGTGCTTAAAAAAAAAAAAAAAAAAAAAAAAATCTAATTTATTATGGATGCATCATCTCACTCATCTCAGAGAAATTTGTTATGTTCTTATACATGCACATAGATATGTGCAACACATCAGCATCAATATAAAGATGCAGTAGAGCTGACAAGAAGACAAGACAAAGTCCCAAGCTCTGAATTCCCTGGGTGTAGGGGTGAGCTTTCAGAAAGGCCAGCTTGATGGATGCAATGTATTTTCCAACTAGTTCAAAGTAAAACCTGAAGGAAAGTATGCCTTATAAACAGGTTCATATTCCTCATCTATTTGAAGTAAAAGCAGTCTATTTATGTCTAACCACACAGCTGAAATACCTGTGTTTATATGTTCTGTGAGAATGAACTATGTAGAGGCAATAGAGCACACTGTGGACTAGGTTCGGGGTATTATCATCTCAGACATTTAATGGGACAGACTTCAAACGGTGCTCTTGCTTTCCTTCTTTCAACTGAAGTGCTGACTGCATCAATGAGATGGAGCATGAGTTATTTCATCACTATAAAGAAGAACTAAGCACGAGTTTAGAATCAACACAGATCTGTTAAGGCAATTGTTGATGGTTTCATTAAGAGCAATCAAAGCTAGAGCTGACCAGTTCACGAGGTAATCATGAACATAATTAAGCAGTGAAGATAAGCTTCACAGTGAAGATCAGAACATTTGAAAATTTCTTGCCAGAAAATAAAAAAAAAAATAAAAAAAAAAAACTACTTCAAAAATTGCCTCAAATGACCTTAGCAGACTAATGTGAAGACATTATCCGCCTTTGTGAGGCAAATGGGTTGCTTATTTTAAAACTACACATCAAAATGCCCCCACTATTCTTCCTTGTACATCTTTGCCTTATGCCTGCCATCTAACTGGGGAAAACATTAGGGTGCTGGACTCTCCATAGCCTACTGGACTCTCCTTTTACTTGATATTAGAGCAAAAACATGATCCTGCTTGAACTGCATAAAGATTACCTCCCATTGAACAAATCTGTGCTCTTAGAAAGAGAAAAGGGTTTAAAAGGGGTTAAAAAACACCCATACTTTCTCTCCCTTTTTTATGGAAGGACAGTAAAGGTCAAGTGGCCCTTGATGGTGTCTTTCAATCACGGTGGCTTTGTACTGACAAAACACAGCTCACTTCAGCAGAATTACCTTGAGTGAAGTCAGAGAAGAGACAGCTTCATTTCCAGTGCCAAAGGGAGACCTACAAGCAGTTATCATTCAGACACAACAAATGGCCAAGGGCAAGCCACCATGAAGATACAGGTCAAATGCTAGAGAAAAGGGCTTCCTTGACAGGTCTCATACAATGTTGTAAGTAACTATGATTAGGGATGTGCATTGTTGCACCGCAACTCCTCTCCTTGCCAGGCCTGAGGCAGGCAGGGTCTTACCTTGCATTTGTCCACACCACTCTGTTTTCCCTCTATGAGAGATCCTGCCTTAGTTCCCTCTAAGTGATCATCTTTGCTCTGATAGTTTTACTTAACAGTACTTGCAACTGGGCCTAAAATTGCAGGGGTTCCTTTTTTTCTGGAGTAATGACGTGGTATCCAGAACTGAAACTTGTATCGTGCTGCCCCAGTTGCTTCTCCATCTCACTCCCTCTGCAGCATTCTGATTAAAGAAGCAAAATATTTTTAAAACTTTATTGAAAATTAAATATTAGCTTTTTTTTAGTTATGCAGAGTCCCCGTCCTATTCTCACTGCAGGAAGCATCCACTCATTCTTTCTGTGTCTCATTCTTCCTAATGCTGAGGAGCTTTCTGACACTTCTCAGGTTTTGGCAGCGTAACTCAACTGACCTTTCGTCAGGTCACTCTTCATTCCTATTACTCCTTCACTAGCAGGAGCCATAAACTAAACAGTTAACTTTTTCCTTCAGTCTCCTCTGCAAGTTCTGTCCTCCCTCCCTTTTTTTTTTTTTCTTCATTTTAACTGAGAAACTCTAATAACCTGTCAGAAATTCACAGCAGTTGCAATGACAGCATCAGCACTGGCACCACCTTTGATTTGAAATGCACGCCCTGCTTCTGGATGTTTTCACTGCACCACCTTCCCTTAAAAGGCCTCAGCTGCATATTGTTGGAGGAGCAGAGCTAAAACAACAGTCACCCCCCTTATATGGTCAAGTATTACAGTGTTACTCCCTCACGGACTTTAATTTATTAAGCAAAAAGCAGTGGAATGTTAAGCCCTTGCACACAGAACAGATAA